TCTTTCTCTTTCTCTTTCCTCTTTCTCTCTCTCCTCTCTTTCTCTTTCCTCTTTCTCTCTTTCCTCTCTCTCTCTTTTCAATCTTTTTTCTCTTTCCTCTTTTTCTCTCTTTCCTCTCCCCCTCTCTTTCTCTTTCCTCTCCCTCTTTCTCTCTCTCCCTCTTTCCTCTCTTTCTCTCTTTCCTCTCCCTCTTTCTCTCACTCTTTCTCTTTCCTCTTTCTCTCTTTCTCTTTCCTTTCTCTCTTTCTCTCTCTCTTTCCTCTTTCTCTTTCTTCTCTCTTTCTCTTTCTCTTTCTCTTTCTCTTTCCTCTTTCTCTCTTTCTTCTTTCTCTCCTCTTTCTCTTTCCTTTCTCTCTTTTCTCTAACTTTCTCTCTCTCTTTCCTCTCTCTTTCTTTGTCTTTTTCCTCTCTCTCTTTATCTTCTTCTTTCCTCTTTCTCTCTTTCCTCTAACTTTCTCTCTTTCTTTCCTCCCTTTTTCTGTCTTTCTCTTTCCTCTTTCTCTCTTTCCTCTCTTTCTCTTTCCCTCTCTTTTCTCTCTTTCTCTTCTCTCTTTCCTCTCTCTCTCTTTCCTCTCTTTCTCTTTCTCTTTTTCTTTCTTCTTTTTCTCTCTCCTCTCTTTCTCTTTCCTCTTTCTCTTTCCTCTCTTTCTCTTTTCCTCTCTTTCCTCTCTCTTTCTCTTCTCTTTCTCTTTTCTTTTTCCCTCTTTCCTCTCTCTCCAGCACTGGAGATGGATAATCCACCAATGGGTTTAGACTGTATTCCTGCCCAATTAGATCAAGTCAGCCAAAGTTGCCATGCCCATCCTGGACCATAGATCTCAGTCTTGACTTGATCTTGCCCATGGACAGACGTGCAAGTTTGGCTCTTAGGCAGGTATAGTCTAAACTATTGGTGGATTTTCCATTTTCCTGATTGCTGGGTAGTGCTGTATTCAGCACAGGATTTGTCCTTCCACCAGCAAATTAACAAATTTACAATCCCTTCCCCTTCAGGAATTTCAGAATTCTTCTCAATTCCTGACTTGGGGAGGGGCGATTACAACTAGGTTATCCTAAAGAAGGGGCTCCTTCTTCCTCCCTCCCCCTCTTTACTCACCCCAGCAAATAATTTCCTGGAGACAATTGCTGGATTCACCTGAGGACTAACGGCCGTTAGTCCCCAACTCTCTTTGAAGTGATTCATTTCTTCACTGGAGCTTGCGGCTGCGGCTCCGGTGACTGAGTGCGAGGAGGAGGCTTCCTTCTCTGCCCTCAGGCTTTCGTTCGCAAATTCCACTTCTCCGAGGTCTGTTGGAGCTGCAGCTGCAGCTCCACCCCTGATTCCAAATTTTCGGTCGATTGATCTCCTCAGCTTGAAGCCGCACGATCGCCCTTCTATCGGCTGGAGGCGCACGCGCACGTGGAGAAGCCGGCGCCGATCAGCTGTGAGGCGGCTGATCGGAGGGGCAAAAAAAAAAACCCTCCGTTTTTTCCATTGGGGCCTTTTCTTGCTTGCCAGATGCGGCCCTTCCAATTAACAAGACAATGTTGTTTACTGCATCGGGCTTACTTGTCCAAGCCCTCAAACCTCAACGGATTCAGTTGTCTGCCACGTGCGGCCGCCATTTTGGACACGTGATTCTCAAAATAATCGGTTCGTTTCGAGGGAATTCTGGAGGAAGTGGATCCTTCTTATTTACTGCTATTTACTGCTATTTTACTAATTTACTGCTATAATCCTCAGAGAGGGGACATCCATTGGGGGGGAGAACTAAGTAAGTTCAAATAGGCCCCATTCCATCATTAGGCAGGCCGCCATTTTGAGAGACGGCCGCCATTTTGAGAACCACATAGGCCCAGTTTTAAATTGAGGCCTACCATTCAGTGCTACAAAGAGCTCCCAAGATCTATTAGGCACATCTCTGGCCCTGTCACGAGCTCTCCGGGTCTCCCATTGGTCCCCTTTTTTCAGGTTTGGTGTCTCTGGCCTCACCTCACTCAGAACTAACCCAGCGTGACTGGGACCAACAACTGGATTCTAGGCGTACCTGATCGTGCGTCCGTTAATTATCTGTACAATTGGCTTTTATCTGGATTCCAGGCGCCCCCTGTAGTATGCCTGTTCTTATCCAGAACACTCCTAGCCGGATTCCAGACACCCCCTGTAGTGTGCCTGTCCTTATCCATGCACCAGCTATAGCGGGGGTTCCAGGCGTCCCCAATAGTGCGCCTGTCCTTATCCAGTGTGCAAACCTCCTAGGTTCCAGGGGCCCCCTATCGTGCTCCTGTGCTATCAGGGAATGGAGGATTCCATACTTTCCTCACAGGGTGTTTTGCCATCTACATCGGCCCCAATGAATCCTTCTTCATCTAATCTGGAGAATACTGATAAGACCAGGACCAAAACCAAGGTCAGACCTATCACTAAGACTTCCAAGAGGGCCGAAAAGCAGGCCAGCCGGAGACACCAGGCCCTAGAAAAGGAATTCTCAAGGGCGCAGAAAATAGCCAGGTTAGAGACATCTCAAGCCGATAGCTTGCCCTTCGACCTACCCCTGGGGCTCCCAAACTCTCCTTTGGGGTTATGGCCGACCGGGGAACCTCTACATTCCCCTGCGCAGGGCGGGTCGAGCGGAATGCTTTCCATTCCCCAATCCACTACTACATGGTCTATCACGGAGCCCCCGAGGCTACCTTCACACCCACGGCGGCCGGACTCCGGCCCAGTGAGCCTGTCTCCCTTCCTTCGGAGGACCGTCTAACCTTACTAATTGCGCAAGCGGTAGACTGCGCTTTTGAGGCCAGAGCGCAAAATCCTAAACCAGTTACTGGCGCTAGCCTACCTAGCTGCCAACCGGTTCCCGAAACCTACTACCCCCCGTCTTCCCCTTCTGGATCCACCTGTTCCGAGGTTTCATCTCTTCGTGAACAGGACACCGAACAGGGGATCCCAATGTCTGAGGAGGAGGAGCCTCCACCCGAAGCTCCTCCGTTTAGCGGCCTCTTCAACCCTTTAATGATTCTTTTTCATTGGGCTTTCTTTCTAGGATTAGCCTGAAGAAGATTCTTCTTTAATTCCGTTTCAAACTACTGAAAAAGAAATGCATTTTATTTCAGATTTTAGTCTATCTGTTAAAATGTCATCACTCAGACTTGTTGAAATATTAAGAAGTGCACAGAAAAGCTAGGCATGCCACTGATTACTTCTGCCTCTCAACCTTAGAGTCATGATCTATAAAATGCCGTAAAGTTATACAGTTTCACATTCAATTCTTTGGGGATATTATTAGCCATAAAGTTAACAATCTTGTAGGCATTATGTTTGAAAACGAGTGGATTTCTAGGTTCAACATTAACCTGTCAGTCAAAAAAGCTTTTGCTAAGAAAAGAATTAGCTGCTATGCAAACATATGCACATTCATTTCAGCATGACAGTACTGAATCTAAGTGCAATAGAGTGCCCTTCTTCTTCTTCTTCTTCTTCTTCTTCTTCTTCTTCTTCTTCTTCTTCTTCTTCTTCTTCTTCTTCTTCTTCTTCTTCTTCTTCTTCTTCTTCTTCTTCTTCTTCTTCTTCTTCTTCT